CATTATCTAACTGCTCATGCAATTAGAAAAATTGACCACTCAAAATGAGATATTTGCAGGTAATGTTGCAGGTACTTTTATACGTGTTCTTTGAAATCAGCACGCTATTTTGAATTGCCATGTTTATTGTCTTCCAAACTCATAAGATCTTGATGAAACCTATAATATCAGAGATTAATATGCGCCATACACAAATTTCAGAATTATTGACTGTTCTGTTTTCAAAATACGGTATAGTAGAAAGTTCATAATATTCATAGTAATACTCGAGATACAAAATACAGAGAGGAAACTCTGTACTTTTGACCCGGACTAAATTTTTTCGTTGTTCCAACACGAAACTACAGTTACAAATATCACACATTTTTTTCTCAGTATACACACATTTAGATACTTAAATACTTTTTCTTATTACCTGTATATATCTTTATTAGACAAACTTATGCATAAACAAAGCGCTCAAAAATATGAAATAGTTTTCCCGCATTTGCAACCTTGTGCATATATATTCATCTCCATTTTGTTTCAAATTAACAATGACATTTGGACAATGAAATAAATGCGTGGAAACGTAATTTTGTTTGATAAATGGTATATTAATGTGGTCCCTTGATGTGCGCCACTGAAAATGTGATACAACTACCTTAAACGCTCTTTAAACTTGTCGTGCAAGGCGCGAAGTTGAAATTATCACTATTACATTGCTCTGCTTACAAACACGTACAAGAAGAAAATATTAATATCGTTTACTATTTTCCATCGTACACATTTCTGTACACACCGAATCTTCTCCATCACTTCCTCGATAGGAAACTGTCCCTACAGTCAGGGTTAGGGTTAGAGTTAGTATGTGATGATACATGGAATATGTTCCTGTACACACGCAAAAATGCGTTCCATTCTCTCTCTCTTCTTCAGTTGACTCGTCGTTAATCGTCCCCCGAAATTGCTCGCTCGGTCCACTCTCCGTCTGAATCACCCGTTTTCCATCCTTTTCTCCCCGGCTATCACCCTGCCTCTCGCTCTTCCTCTCTCTCTCTCTCTCTCTCCCCCTCCTCTCTCCCTCTCCCTCTCTGTCCCCCTTTTTCCTTTTTATCCTTCTACCTCTCCGCCTTTCCCCATCGTTCATTACGTCCTCCGCGTCCCTTCGTCGAAAAAGTAGTTTCAGCGACTATCTTCCCTCCGCCCTTTCTCCCGTTCTCTCTATCTTTCTCTCTCCCTTTCTGTTCTTCCTCGACGTTTACTCTCTCCTTCCATCATCTTTCCCCTCGCATTCTCGCTTGCGCACCGCCCTTATCTCCGGAGTTTCTCATTGTCTGAAAGGGCCATCTGTCCCCCGGCTCTCTTTTTCGTCCTCCGCTTTCATCCCTTCGCTCCTCTCGCTCGAGCGCCACGCGCACAAAGGAAGCTCTCCGCTCCGCTGTTCCCCGTTCACCGCCCTCTCTCTCTACCCTTTCTCCGCCAGCCTTCTTTGTTCCTTCCGTCCGGGCGCTACTTCGGTATCGCCCTGTCAACGCTGCCACCGCCACTGCCACCGCCACTACTACCACCACCATCACCATCGTCGTCGTCGTCGTCGTCGTCGTCATCGTCGTCATTGACGACATCGTCATCGTCATCTCCGTCGCCTCGCTGCTCCTTTCTCCACTCTCGAGAAGTTTCCTTCGACTCTCCTCCGGAGGGAAACCACAAAGAAACATCAGTAATTCCTAGAGACGAAATAGCGCATTCGATTTCTCTGCGGAAGAGGAGGGCGCGACGAGAACGTCCGACGCTGCAAATTACGCAGCTCGGGAAAAAGCGGGATATGAGATAGGGAGAGAGAAAGAGAGGAGGGAAGTGGTGGTGGCGGCGGAGGAGGCGGAGATGCCGGCGAAAAGAGGGAGAGCTTCTTTCCCGCGCGATCGCAGTTTCCGCAGTTGTTCGACAAACGGGAAAAAAAAATGTCGGGCCAAGCAGAGTAGAGCAGAGCCCGAGTCGTGATATCGCTCGCAGCGGTCCACGTGCGACCTTGAGTGAGAACCGCGCTCACCCTCCGCGCTTCGAGGGGTCGCAATCCCCCGCTCATGATCACGTGGGGCTCGAGGGTGGCTTCCACAAGCCCTCGTTTATCCCACCCTATCGTCGGACGAAAAGAGCACGGAGCTTACTGACGAAGACGGGAAAATGAAGGTCGAACATTATCGCGATTTGTCGGCTGGCGCCGAAGCGGTAACGAGCTCGTGTGAATAGTAAATTACATGCTTATGGATTACAGATAAATCTTCAATCTGTGAGCTGCCGTGTCGCGCAGCCCGAGTTAACAGGTATTGAATTAACGCGCGGTTTACTCTGTTTCCTTTCTTCAGAAAAAATGGTGGAATTAAATCAATTAAATTACGCCTCAGCTCCCAAAATAAGGAGAAAAGCCCGGAACTCACGATAACTCATTTCTTGCGAGTGGCCCTAATCGAAAGATACGCCAAAATGTGCGCACAGTAGACGAAAGTGAGTCGAGAAAAAGGCCCAGAGTATTTTCTCCGCTTCTCTCTCGTGTCGCGCACGAGGCGACGCGAAGATCGATACGAAGGACGCGTTGATATAGAGAGCTCTCCATTCTCTCTGTATTCCTATCCGTACTCCCCGACCGCGCGTCATTTGATTGACCACATTTGACTCGCAAGTGACGGCATCCAGGACGAGGTCTTGCCGAGAACCGCCGCAATTTTAATCTGCGACAGTTCTGCGTCACGAAAAATCATTCGATCGAAGACACCGCGCTGACATACTTGATCGCGAATATTCAGGCGACTACGCAGATAGACAGATGTACGTAAAGGACGATAAGTAAAATGGGTCTATTTTAATCTAAACAATATAACATGAGTTGCACGTGTAATTTTACGTTTTTTGGATCGATGATAACATTTTTCCTATACTCGTGGAAAAGTGACCGAAATAAATATCACTTTTAATAGTAATTCGCTTAGTGACGAATTTGTCTCAATTGTTTAATTACTTATAGTTTTATAACTTTTTGTTGAGAACTAAGAAGACACTTCAAAATGAAACACTTCAAAAATGTTAAATCTAACATGACGAAATCAATATGATAAAAGTAATGAAAAATGTTAGTCAATTTTCTTATTCAACGAATTTTAATTCTCATCAGATGTGCCATCTGCATACATTTTGCAATTTTAAGGATGTTAGAATGGTGGACTCTCCCGTCACTCTGAAAGTTCTACTAAAGAACTTCTTATAAGGAAATTTAGCTTTCTGATGTATTTCATTTTGAAGTGTTTCCTTAATTTTTAGTGAAAGGAAGTTATATAAAATTAAACTGTAATACGTATAGTTATATAATTAGGGACAAAATCGTCACTAACCGAAGTACTATTAAAAGTATTTCGAATAGAAATGTTAATCGTATTCAGTGATTCAAAGAAACGTAAGATTATATGTGTAACGTTATACTTTTAGGCTAAAATCGGCCCATTTTACTCATCGTCCTTTGGCAGCAACTCTACTAGTAGATTTGTACAGGTATGGGTCTTACATATTTATCACATGAAATGATGAAATAGAAACACGAAAGAAGTTATAAAAATTTGCTCGAAACAACATGTCGAAGTCTCATATCGCGGTAATCACGAAAGTCTATCTGAGCAACGACGACGGAACGAGTCGCAACGACAGAAGAACAAAAAAAGGGTCGCGTCGCCTTTCGCGTGGGATTTCTCGCGATGATCTCGATTTAAAAGCGTCGAGGTGTTAGAAGCGCGGACGTTTGTGATGTTAGACAATTCCTCGGTGTTTCGCGCGAGGAGCGTTCACGGCGCTAAGAGCACAATCGCGAGGAGCTTTCTGGTCAGCCTTACAGAACGTTCCAGTCGTGCGCAATACCAAGTGGAACGTTTCTTGCGAAAAGTGCATTTGGTGTTGCGCGAAGCTTCGCAATTAATCATCGCCGTAATACGGGCGCGCGTCGGCCCCGGACGTGTGCGTGCGCGAGGAAAGAAATGAAGTCGCCAGCCGACGAAGTTGTAAAATATAGGCGCGCGTCGTCGTCGTGCGTACGCAATTGCAATTAAAAACCTCCCGGGCAGTTCTCGCCCGGTATTCCCAGGATTAATTGCGCGCGGCGTATCGCCTTATAGCGGCGCGAACACCTAGTTTCCTTTCTCCTTTCTTGCTTCTCCACGTGTGTCACGGAGATCCCTCTCGCCGTTCTCCTCTCCCCATCCCGGTGAAATTGACGGTTCCGGGTGCGTTCGCGTCCTCCCTCCTCCTTCGCGACGAACGTTGTCTCGTTCCTTTCGCCTCTCCTTTCCTTCCCTTCGAAAATTCAAGCGGACCCGTGCGGCTCGCGCATGCGGCGCGAACGGCAGAGACGAAGGAGAAGCGAGCGGATTCGCAGGATGCTCGGGAAAATCCACGGGATGATAGCGTGCACTCTCGGCGTTCCCCGCCGAATCCCGACGCATTTTGCCTTTGCGTCGGAAATTCCTGGATTTCTCCCATGTCGTCCGTACACACTTTCGTAATCGGTCCTGAGATCACAATTCTAACTTGAGGCCTGTTGGAAGATTCAAGAATCTTCCTGTTTCTCAGGTTCCTTTCTTCAGCTGAACTTATCGGCAGAACTCGATATAAATGCGCTCCGTTATTTTCCACGTGAAACAACTGCAGAAGCATCGTCGCAAAAGTATCGTCTCATGATCCCACGAAGGAGAATACTGTCTCTCGCCGCGAATGTGTATCGGTTCTCCGGAACATCCTGTACACTTAACGCGTACTACTTGAACCGGCGAGGGCGAAGGGGAAACAGGTGAGCGGCAGAGAGAGGGAGAGAGAGAAAGAGAGAGAGAGAG